AAAACAAATAAAACCGTCAACGGATAAAAATTTCACAAGATATGCGGACCAAATAGCTAAAATTTCTTAAGTGGTTCCAAATATTTGAAAAACATGGAAAAATATGAAAGTTAAATGTCATTGAAAATTGAAAATTCGCGTCGCGTAGCCAATTCGCGTCCGGTCTGTGTGGGCCTTAAGCTGTTCGAAGTTAGGGCAACTAGTGCATTAAAATTGTAGCATGAATATATAGCTACTTTTAGCTGTCGAAACTTGTAGGCCTTTTCGTCTGATGCATGCAAGCAGCTCTAGCGGGTTACGCTTCGGTTTTGCAGGACCTTTTGTGGTTTCTTTCGTCTCTTGTGCTCGTTTCTTCAGTGGGGTGTTTGCCGTAAAAGTCAATCCGCTTAAAGTCCCTATTCTTTTATCTGAAGGCAGAAACATACGGAGGAAGGGAGTTATCTAACTTATCTATTTCACGGTTAATAATCATATATAACATAGGTAATATATTTCAACACAAAATATTTCTTGTCGTGAGGTCTTTTCACCTATAATCGAGCACACAAATATTTCGAGATCTCATTTCACTCCACAGCCAGTTTCTTCGAACTCCAAACTGATTGTTTTCCAAGCACGAATTCTTCCGGTTCAAGTGGCCGTATCAGATTTACATCAACTGTTCACTGGCTTGAAACGTCCACAAGAATAGCTTTATAAATATTGCTTTATAAAACACGATTAGAAAGTAAATCTTTCTGGATGATCTTATTGGATGATCCACAATTATGTACATTATTATTACTCATGAAATAAATTTAGGAATCCTGTGCGAATCGATGGCTTAAAGGCCCGTTCGAATGGACCCAACAAAGTTGGTCCATCATCGTACAACAATTTCGCAATATTTGGATTAATTTTACTTAGATTTAATCATCAGATTTATCCTAATTGAAAGTGTGAAAATAGCTGTAAAAGAAACAGTCTATAACATTATTTGAAAAATGTTGGATCATGTTGAGCCAACAATGTTTGGTTTATTTGATTGTGTATATGATGTGGACAAGTCTTTATTTTTTTAAATATACTAATTACTATTATTCCTGGAACATCAAACATTTCCTTTTAAAACAAGCACATTATGTATGACTACTGCTGGTTTGATTTTTCTTAGAACAGTTCTTTAAATTGACTAATTAATGACCTGAAGCGAGTGGCAATGTTAAATATAGTCCCTGAAGTCGGGAAGGGAAGCGTTCGTAAACTGTGTCTGTTACAGCCTCGCAAAACTGAATGAATCTGAAGTGCAGAGGCTCACTCATAGTGATAAGGTAATCTATATACGGGGGTTGAATTTTCAAGCAAAATCCCTTAGTACCTTATACTATCGCATAACGTGTTCATTGATTAAACTGATACATTTTATCATGTCTGTATAACGTTTGCAACCTATCAAGATTCGGGTTTAGGTCAAGCTTGTATGCAAGAGGATATGATATGGCACATGCTTGCAATGACAACTAAAGGCGAACTAAAGTAATGGCATTAAAATAGTATGACATGCCTACAATTTTATACAAACAGTTACAATGTCATGCATCATAGCCAATTTAACTTGAAACATACAATAACGAGAATCTATGACTATACTCTGTCAAAACAACGTCCTGTGAGTCTATTTTAACATTTTTCTGCCAATAATCTACTAATATACATAGGTACTGTAACTGATTATATAAATATCATAACTTTAGTGAGACAAGGGGTCTGCAACTGGAAGCAGTCAGTGTGAACGAAATAACTTGTAACAACAGAGACTTGATGAATATCGTACGGCCTGACTTAATCATCATGCAAAAACAATAAAGTTGATACATGCATAGTCAAGAGCAGACATCCGCCACAGAAAGCGGAACTTACAAATACCGGAAGTCAAACTACATACATAATCACAACAGCATGGTAATGAGGCGACACAATAGTTGGAAGACGGCGCAACTAGCAGTATAATAGAGGAATCATTGTTTCTGCGAACCAGATTCTAGAAATTTCAAAATTTCTTTAGAAATCAAACACAAGTGATCATATTAGCGTACAGTACTTCACGTGGAGTCAATAATATTTATATACATTCTGTAATGTCATAGTACTATTGTTAGAATATTATGCCGGATGTTCGCGTTCATATCACAACACGTGTACCGTACATAAAGCTTAATGAATTACCCTACGAAGGTATTTAAATAGCGAACAGCCCTGCACTGAGCAGCATATCGAAATGAAATTGAAAATGAAGATTGTTAGCTTGTGACGGTCCTGACGGATTACTTGCCAAAACGAAAGTGAAGAACTAAAAAGCAACATACTATTGAAGCTCAGTTTTGTTTATTTTATTCTGACATTGACAACATATCTTATGCTGAGGTATTTAAAATAATTTAAATTCATCCTTCCTGTTTTTCGAGCATGACTGAGAAACTGCAACTCCGAGACTGGTTGTTCACATTACTTGAGCACAATCAAACTCCCGGCCTGGAATGGCTGGACAGAGATCAAAAGATATTTTCAATCTCTTGGAGACATGGGAGAAAGAAAGGCTGGAAATCGGAGAATGATTCACAATTGTTTAAAGAATGGGCAATTTATAAGAAAAGATATAAACCTGGAAATGATAGGAAAAATGCAAAACTCTGGAAATCAAGATTCAGATGTGCCTTGAATGCACTCAATGATGTCAGAGAATTAAAAACATTGAGTAAGACTAAAGGTGAAGACCCCAAGAAGATTTACCAGTTTTTGCAAAAACAACCAGTGGTGACTGTTAAAAGACGACGGTTCCCTAAAGAAGGTATTAATCCTTATACTGATATCTTATAGCTATCATATAGAACCTATCTGCATGGCTAAAGTCTAAATTTACTGTAACATGATCTGCAAATATATTTTTCCTGCATTGTATCATTTTAATATGTGACGTTTTGTCAAAATGAATTAAAATATAACTGAAATGTATATTTAATCGTGACATCTGTGTGTCACACGTGGTATATCGGAAATAAGAAGTTCCTCTTTGGCATTGGACAATTCAAGACCTTGACTGAGTTGAGGACATTTTGAAGTCCTTGAGAACTAACGACATCGATGAATCAACTGTGTATGTGTTAGATAAGTTTAGAATGCCTTAAAGTATCTGAACAGATTAAAATAAATACCTCTAATACTCTATAATTCCTTTAATTTTTACTTTTACCCACTTAATACCCTCAAGTGTAGCAATTATAAAACTGTTTAATATGCATATATAAATATTTAAAATTCGAAAAATAGTGGAGACCCGAAATCTTTTTTGACAGAGCCGAGATTTGCGGAGTTTGACTTCAATGAAGAACATTGTTGCAACAAAATAGATACACGCCAGGTAAATTTAATCCTTTTTATTCCTCGTTCTATCTTATGAAACCCTTTAGTATTGCCGTTCACCAGTCATATGGCTGTTATATTTGTATGCAGTTATGTATGTAACATCGTTTCAGTACACTCAAGCATTTATCCCCTCCTGAGTATTTATTGAGTACATATGCATACGGGATGGAAACAAATAGGGGTGGGGGCAGAAATAAATTTGCCAGACTTTTTTGTCGACGGAGAGGGGGCATTTTTCGAAAATTACATTTTTGGAAACCTTATATATTTCTTGGGTTTTCGAATATTATCATCCAAACATTTTCTGTATTTTCGACTATTATCTGACATATTTCTTGTTTTAAACTTATTTCTCCAATCGTTTACCCAACTATAACGTTTCTAATTTGCCCAACTTCATTTTTACTTGGGGGGGGGGG